TTTAGATTTAGCAATCTCTTCATCTAATATTCTACTTTTATGATATGCATCCGGATGTGATTTGTGTACTTGTTGCAAACCACTGATATTATTATTATTATTAATAATTTCTTTGCATTTACTTATAGCAAATTTATAAAGCTCTAGAATAGCTGGTCTTTTAAGCGGATCCACATCCCAACACCTCTCCATCATTTGTGCATAATCATCAGGCATTACAGGTAGTATTGGTGGCCGTAAATCTTTTCCACATATATCAAAAATTAAACGATGATTGTGAGCTCTGTTATCAAATGGTGGATGTCCTGCAAATATTTCCCACATTAACATCCCAACACTATAGATATCAGTTTCTTTGGTGTACTTTGTATTAATTTTGCCACTAAGTAATTCGGGTGCAACATATGATACAATTCCATAAATTTTTTTTGATAATTTTTCATCAACTGGTCCACATAATCCAAAATCTGTGATATAACAGCAGCCTCCTTCCACAAGTATATTACCACTATGTAAATCACAATGGATTAAGTTTTTTCTATGTATCCAATATAATGCACCACACAAATATGTAAATATTACAATTCTGTCTTTTAATGTCAAATTTGAATGATTTTTTTGCAAATAATTCCTTAAACTTCCATCTGAAGCATAAGCCAAAACCATCACATAATTTCCATTATCTGGGAATTTAGTTATACCAAAGCAAGTAGCCATCAGTGTTGCTTTAATTTTACAATAGTTTACTGCCTGGAATAAATATAAAACAGGTTATTATTATATAATACAGTATTGTTTTAAATGACAACTACCAACCTCATCAAAAAAGGCTTCTCCTGGATTACTTGAATCATTTAAATTTTTTAATATTACTAGTTGCCCTCCATAATAATTAAATTCCTTTTTATTTTCATCATAATCAACAATAGCTCCTCTTGTCCATGTAGCAGTATAAATTGAACTAAATCCACCTTCAGTCAATTTTGTTATTTTTTTAAATTGCTCAAAAGGTATCCATTCTAAAATATAGTCTGGCAGAGATGATTCAATTTGACATTGTTGAATAAAATTATCAATTATGTTATTTCCAGACGTCCAAGTAGTGAAAAGTCTCTGTAAATGTAAACTAATACAACTTTCACAGAACCAATCAGAGTATTTTGCCAATTTACACTTGTTACATTCTTTTTGGCTTTCCAAATTTATTTATTGCATTTCTTAATTCAATCTCATAAATTAATCTTCCTTTACAACATTCTTTTTCATCCTCAGAAAGCTTCTTGTTATTTTGGACTAATGAAAAAAAATAATCCTTTCTATTTTCTTCATCGGAATTAACCAGTGCATAATTACGCATTTCACCAATAATTTTAAGTACATCTCTTTCTGGTGATAATAAATTATTATATGTCATTATGTAAAACTATAAAATATAGAGATTGACTTTGTGATTTAATAGTAATAGAATGGAAAAAACGAGGCATTATTTAACATAGTTGTATACGTATTTTTTTGGAAATTTATTACTATTATTGAAAATTCAATGTCCGCAATGTCCAAGGTGTAACGTTATATTTTGAATTTCAAATAAATTTGTACTAGTTACACAACGAATTTCATTCTTGTTTTTTACTTTACTAATGCTCTATATAGTGCTTTCAATTTCTGGTCCGTTTAATAAAATCATTAAATGATCATTTAATGGTATCTACATTCATTTGATTTTTCAAATTATTTTTAATTAAATATTCTTTCTACATGAGCATTAGAAAGGGTATAAAAAGTAACTAATAATATTTTTGATTATTAAAAAGAAAATCCTTATCAGTATCTAAAATGTGTTTCCACAACTGAATGAAATTAATTTCTCTATTATTATTTTTACTGAATTCCATTTTGTTTAAGTTTTTCATTGTCAATGATTCACTAAATTCATTTCCATTTACAAATTGTTTCTCCATAGAAATTACCTGAAAATTCAATTTCTTGATTTTCACATGAAAGTAATTCTTTATCATCATCATCTGGAAGTTCTTTTGGATTAAAAATACTAATTTTACATATCACGGAAAATTAATACAGTAAATAAAAGTTGCACGAAAATAAAATCGGGAAACTGATCAAGAATTTAAACCAGTCCAATTTCATATTGTTATTTAATCACCAATAAAATAATTGACTCACGAAAACTATCTCTGACAACCGAAAAACAAGTATTCTAATGTAACATACCTTTAATTCTCAGATTAAATTCAAACAAAAGAATTTAAATTATTGGATCACTTTAGAAATAACTTGAAAATAATTATACACAGAAAGTTCAAGTAATACATTTAATTAGGATAAATTAAGAATAATAAATAATATTGTCCTTATCTTTGTCCTTGTTGTTAACTTGAATATTGTATTTTCGTAATGATAATAAATCTATCACTAACAATGAATCCATACCAAATTCCATGCATAATCATTTTTTCTCTTATTTTATATTTGTCCATTTTTTTATTTCTTTTCTTTTCTTTGTGAGGTGATATTTAATGAATTTATTTAGTAGTTTTGGGAACGCACCTGACTTGAGTATGGAATAACAGCTAAGGAAGGCACCCACTAAGAAACGTGATCAGTAATGTAAAATCTAAAAAAGATATTGTTTAGTACAAGAAATTGTTTAATGATAGTGAAAGATAGTTTTGAGAGTAAAAACATTCCAGAAATTGTTGTTATGATTTAATGATACTAATAGAGAATTATTAATTTTTTTAAACGAAGAAAGCAATTTTTTGCTTACAGTGAACTAAAAAAATTTTTCTCAAATAATTATTTTTTTAAAAGAAAACAATTTTTTGCTTCCAGTGAAAAGTGATTGATTTTTGCAATAATTAATAATTAATAGATTTTCCTCAAATAATAATGTATAATTAAAAAATGTAGTTAATTTTAATTTTTTGAAAAATTGGCTGAAAGATTATAAAAAAAACTCTTCTAACTCTTCACCTTTTCCTTTTGCTTCACCTGATACAATTTTATATTTTTCAGTAAATTTTTCTTTATAGTTATTAGCAATAATAATACCAGTTAACTGACTAGGCATTTTTATTTTTTATTTTTTAAAAAAAAAAAATATTTTATTATTGTTTTATTTTACCTAACTTATGAGCTTGCGTATTTTTTAAAAAATAGAAACCAGTGTAAGCCATTTGTTAATGTAAATAAAGAATAAATTAAGAAAATAAATTTAATTCTTTTTATTAGTAATAAATATCTTTCCCACTTGCGTAACGAAAAAAAATTTATTTGCCTTAGTGCTGTTGTACGTGAAAATGAAAATATGTGAAATTCGAAGAATTGTTAATTTCCCGCTTGCGTAACAATAATTTTTTTAAACAAAAATTTTTGCCTTCAGCGAATGAAAAAAAAAACAACTGATTTTTTGTTTTTTACCTTCAGAGAAATGAAAAACAGATTGATTTTTTGCAACCTGCATGCTATAATTAAAATATTTCTCAGATAATAACGTATAGTTAAAAAAAATATTGGCAGGAGAATTTTTATAGTTGATTAATTTTTTACATAAAGTGAAAATAAATAAATAAAGTGAACCTTTACATATTTGATCTACAAATACATTTTTCTACAACAAAACGATTACTTTTTGTTTTCAATTCAACACCCAAATTTTACAAAAAATTCCTTCCCAAAAAAATATTTTAGTTCTAAACAGAATTCATTAATTCGAATTCAAATTTGAATTCAATTCTATTCTGAATCCTTATCCATATTCATTAAAATTGAACCGCGTTTTTTCCTGAAGATCTACTTTGTTGATACTTTATTAACATAAAAAATTACACAAATTTTGATATATGAGGCAAGTGATAAACGTATTAACCCTTTTTATTGAAAAATTCGATAAATATGGAAAGTTACATGCATCAAAACTATTAGCCCGAAATTTATTATTTAAAAAAAAAAAAATTATGTAGATCAATTTTTTTTTTTCAAAAAAATAAAAAAAAAATTTTTCTGAAATTACCACTCAACGAAAGCAAAAAAATAGGTTTAAAAAACAAAGATTTTTCGGTTTCAATTGCAATTACAACGCATTGCTTTGCAATTCAATTCAACGCAACTCAATTTCAATGCAATTGAACCTGCTTGATTTATAAAACAAAACATTTGCCGTACGACACAATTTTTTGCTAAATATGGTGAAAACGTTGATCGCGCCAAAAACCGAAAAGACCAGGCGCGGCTAGACGCAAAAGGAGACAATCGGCGAGAAAACTGCACGGAAGTCGCACTACTTGCAAGTTTTGGAAGGAGATCGTGACACGGCAAATGTTAAATCTTTTTTTTGTGTTAACGAATCACGAAATCGCAATATTTGAAATTTGAGCGCGTGGCGCAGCAATAGGAGGTCCAACCATTACATGAAAAAAATTCTCTAATTTCGCATTAATCTATTTTGATAATTTATTTTATTACATTTTATTTATTTCGATAACATTATAATGTATTGTAATTAATAGAAATTAACGTAGATTTACGCTTGGAGCGATTTCGTACTAGTACTTGAAGAACCATTTCGGGATTAAATAACTGAATCGCAATTACACAAGAAGTGCAGCAGATTCCATAATTAAATTGCTAAATAGTAATTAAGTGCAATATTTGTAATTAGAGTGCTACTAATTAATTTAATTGTATATAAGAAGCTTGTACAGTCAAACCTCGTTTCAACGAAGTGGCTGGACATATAAAAAAATTTCATTCAAAATCCGTTGAAACGAGATTACTAATCGAATAATTTTTGTATATTATGTTTTCATAATGTGTAACAAGATTTTTAAAAATTCGCTGGGACGAAGTTCGTTGAAGCGAGGGTTTGACTGTACTTGAAAAAAAATTTTTTTTTGTGTTCAATAATAATTTAAAACCGAAACTAAATCAAACCAAACAGAAACCGAACCGTCCGGAGCTTTAGTGAAGGTAAATATCACTTATAAAGGCAATTTTTTACTTAACCTAGCTCTTAAAATTGTAAGATAAGTTTCCATCCCAATCGCAACTTCGATATCATAAAATCAGGGGCCTTTTAAAAGCTTCATAAAATCGGTCAAAACTTCTTTATTGTTAAGATGTTCTATTAAAAAAATCTTTTTATAAGATATACCGGTTTGGTGGAGAAGGATTATGGCATCTTTTTAAGATTTCTACATTGTTTAAAGAAGTAACGATAAAGGAGCAACGGAATGATTTAAATAAAAGTGCGCATAGGCTAATTAGACGAAGACTTTACGGATGCATTTTCTTTCAAGAGTGATGACTATAGACAATAAAATTTCTTAAAGGAGTAATGTTCGATTGGAAAAGGCGCGCCTGTTGGGGAATTAGAATCCAGATCATGTCCCAAAGAATCATCTTATTTGGAGAATTATCTATGTCATTAATAGAAACGTCTAAAAGCGGTTATATTCAAAAAAATGCACGGATTCACTAAATCGTGAATAATAACGCTAAAGTTTTACAACTAACGTAAATTAATTATTATGTAGCACAAAGCATAAACTTGTAAGGGCTCAACAGGATTATTGAATGAATCTGAATGTTACGATCTAGAGGTTAGAATTGGATCAAAACATTATGTTAAAACTTTTAAACCTCATTCTGCCATTTTATCCAGTAATTGACTAAAAAATCTAAAAATGATATCATTTTATTTGAAAAAGAAAAAATTTCTACAAAAGTATTTGAAGTTATTTTATAACGTAAGATTAATTCTATGATTTTTTAATCTAAAAAATATCCTGTATAATTTTTATTTATTCAAAAAATACATTTAAAATGAAACTATTGATATAAACAATCTGGATCTGGATGAAGTTTTTTGAAGCATG